TTCCAATGTAAAGATACTCTGAAGAAACTCCCTCGATGTGTGCGAGTTTGTCTATGTCTGTGCATGTGAGTCTTTCCCGTTGAAACTGTTGGTTCCTTCTGTGCTTTGACTGGGATTGAAGTCCAGATCATTTAGAAGGTGCCCATCAACAAACAAAGAATTATGTGTTATATGTCTCCATTGCGGGCTGCAGGGTGGCGCAGTTGGTAGCACTGTTGCCTCGCAGCTAGAAGGTCGCCGGTTTGCGTCCCAGTGGGGGCACTGGAATCTTTCTGCGTGGAGTTTGCATGTTCTCCTCGTGCAGTGTAGGTTCTCTCTGGCTTCCTCCCACACAGTTCAAAAACATGCTGAGGTTAACTGGTGATTCTAAATTGTCTGTAGGTGTGAATGTGAGTGTCCTTGGTTGTCTGTCTCTAAGTGTAGCCCTGTGATAGACTGGTGACCTGTCCAGGTGTCTCCTGCCTTCACCCTGAGTCAGCTGGGATAGATTCCAGCCCCCCCTAGTGAGGATTAAGCGGTGTATAGATAATGGATGGATGGATGTCTCCATTGTGGTGTGTCACGGTGAAACAACTACATGCAAAGCGGACCACAGAAGCGACAGATCAAGTGAAGATACTGGAGTTGACATGTATTTTACAATGCTAGTGTGGGGCTAATTCCTGGATTATTTTCCTTGTCCGCAACCTCCCCGACTGCAAATGAAATGTAAAGTGAAGGCAGGAGTTTGACAGTTAGTGCCCCGGCAACACCCAGTGGGTCTGAATGTCTCAGATAACACCATTAAGTCACCTGTAACAGGGATTGCGCTGTAATATTTGCAGTGTCTTTGTCTTGTCAGGTGCCTTGATGTGATTTTCTCTCTTAATTGGAGCCCATAAGAGCTGCCAGACGTGAAGCGTGATGGTGGGCTCTTAATTCCGGCTATGCATGACTCCAACTAGTCACCTACGGCGTCGGCACGGCAGCGGATTCAAGTCATGATCATGGCGCTCACATGGCACTCGACGGTGTTCAAACAGTGTAGGAGACAAAGGATCTTTGTACACTGTAAAAAATATTAGTTTTTAATGATTACTTATAATTTGTTTCAAACTACTAGATTCTGTCTGATTTGTTAAGTTATATATAACTAGTAAAATCAAAGAAAAAGAAGCATTAATTTATATGTTAACCATTAAAAAGTGACAGAAACTGTAACTAAAATAAAAAAAATCTGCTTTTTTTAAATACAATATTTGACAGTATAATTATCGTATTTTTTTTTCATTTTTTCAGGATTCAGATCTTTTTTTATGTGTTTACTTTTTTATTTTACAGACACTGGCAGTTATATGGAAGAAATATTATATATATTAAGGAATGAAAAGTTTATTAATTAATTTTTAAACTGTTATTTTACAAATTCAGTCTTGCTGAATAACAGATAACATCTTGTAAAATCAAAGGAAACAAGTATGAAGTAAAAAAAAACAACTATGTAATTCCCTTAATAAAAATAAATGCTCTTTTACAATGTTTGACGATGCAATTACAGTTTTACTGCATTTAAACCACCTAAAATATAACAACTTTACAGATATTTGACATTATTTTCACAGTTTTTATTTTTATTTTATTTTTTTACATATTTTTCTCACACCTTTGCCGCAAGATTTTCACTTTTTTTTAAACTGAATTTTTATTATTATTATTATTATTTTTTTTACAGTGTAGTGTTTGAACACACCCAGGCCATGACTTCTCTCTATCTTTCCTGTCATTGTTTTTTGAAGACAGTTTTGAATATAACTACTTAGAAAGCAGATTATAGCCTTGAAGAACATGATGTGTGAGTGTGTGTTTGTGTATATGTCTACACATACTAGTATATATGCAAATGTCTACACTGGATACTGGCTTCATCCATAACATCTACCTCCTCTATTATTATCAGCCACTAATGATTCAAATTTATGATATTCTGGTCACACGACTGCTTCTTCAAAGCACTCAGAGACACTGTTTTTCCTTTTAATATGCAGAAAAAAAATTGTGACAGTTCTGAAACTTCAGCCGTTAACAAAATCGTACCTTCACCTGTAGCTTCATCACTGTCACGAGGCGTTGCCAATGTGTTCTAACAGCTTCGTTAGGCTTAATTGTCCTGTTCGTGGCTCTGCTGGTGACGAAAGAACACTGTCTCTCGCCTAAATAATGCGGCGCAGATGAGATTCTGAAGGATTTCACTCCTTGGGTGCGAGTGTGTGTATTTGTGTGTGTGTTACATCCTGGGTAATCTTCACCTGCAGTCATATGCAGTCCCTGGTGAGAGACTGTGTGACTCACGACCGGCACATCTAGCCCACGGCTTAGAGTTCTTCTGTCATGGATTTAAGCTTACACACACACACACACACACTTTAATATTTAACCTACCGCACGCACACACACATTACTACTAATCACTGCAGTATTACCACAAGCCCCCCTTTTTGACTCATCTTACACTAAAAAGTCATCTGTGCATACAAACATATTCGAGACGACGGCTTCAGGTTTTTATTTTAGCGTTAAGCTCGGGTTATTTTTTTTTTTCCCGCCGCGCGCCGCCACGTGAAGCTGACAAGGATCCTCGTCTGTTTCGCCCTCCGCATTCAAATCAAGTGAACTCGCAAACGAGGCGCCAGCGATGGCAAAACGTTGCGCTCACCTCCGCAAATTACCCCCCAAATTGCCCCCTCAGATTTCAAACCAAGCATGCAGTTGTTCTTAGCAGTTAAAATGTAAACACCACAATCAGCATTTTAATTCATGATTGCCAAACAAGCCGTAAGCTAATCACGGAGAGGAGATAATGAAAAAGCAAAAAGGCAGAGGAAGACTAAGGAGGGAGTCTGTGATTAGGTCTTGCCTGGAAATGTCTGTTTTTTTTTTTTTTTTCCTCTGCGCTCTGGGCTCTGCATTTTTAAGAAAATGCCATGTACGGCATTTTTTTTTTGTTTTTTTTTGTGATCTGCAAGCACAAGATACTTAAGTCAAAGTCAAGGTCGGTGAAAGACGTGTTCTCCCGGTGAAGTTTTTATTAAAAATTTACTTCTGTATGGAGTGTAAGACTGCAGAAGTTATTTTCCTCTTTGTTGACTCTGCCGCGCCACATAATCGGCTAATAAAACCTGTTAAAGTGCGTCTATCTGGGCTTTAGTGAGCTGATTCTCAAGAAGCGACCTAATAATTCTAAAGGCTAAGGTAATGGCTCTGGGCCTGATAGGACCTTTGGTTAGACGTATATCCAGAATCGACGGGCGTAAATGCCTTTAACCTTTTCCTCTGGATTCATTACAAAATGCTGACAGCAGGGACCTGGTGTCTGTCTTTAGGAATTATTATCTAATGACATTTCAGTGAAGTCAGGAATCTCCACTACTTCCAGACGCGGTGATGTTGTTTTAGCCGCAGTAAACCTTCTCTCTAATATTCCCACAGCTTAGTGTATAGCGCTTAATGCGGGGCAAATGATAATTTATCAAAAAAACAACCACAAGCATCAAAAACGAGTTCAGGCAGTGGCTTATTTTCCCCAAAAAGTAACCAAATCCACTGAACTCACAGCTAAATATTCACTCAAGGTCTAATTAATTATTTACCACTCACCTGTGGCAATACCAGTGTAACTGTGGAGAAAGAGAGGAGCCTTGCTGAGTCGTGTTTTTTTTTTTTTTTTTGCCAAGTATTTTATAGTTTGAGGCTACAATCACTGTTAATATTAAATGAAAGCCACTTTGTTTGTACACTCTCGGCTGTCAATAAATCATTTGAAATATTAGCAGTGTGTGTGTGTGTTGCCCCGTGCAGCCAAAGAGAAACTCCGCCGTGTTTCAGAACACTCTCCGGATGAATTGGCGAAATCTCCAGCCGCCGTTTCCTTATTAATAAATTCATTAGTGCATGAGACTGGAGGAATGAAGACATTCACTGTCCAATGACTTGCAGCGAAATTATAGGAGATACCCTGCTTGGCTGGCGATGCTGTGATATCTAAAAAGGCGGTATTAAAAATGCATTCCCTTTCCTTCCTTTAGAGGTTCCTGCAATTACTCAGTCGGTTTAGAAACACGCAGGGAGGCGTTTCCCCACATCGCCCTCGCGAGTAACTGTACATCTTTATCACTTTCCCTCCTCTCTCTAATGCCACTCCACTTCCTCTCTCACCTATACGCAGATGCAAACGCTTCCATGGCTGTACGCTGTAAAGGCGGCTGAGAAAAAAAAAAAAAAACTGCTTGTTGTTGGCCCTCATCTTTGCAGAGCAGATGGCTGCTTTTCTGCGCCACATGGCCGGCACTCAGGAGATGAGGGGAGCTCTTTAAGAAGAAAAAGACTTTCAATCTGCTTTAGCAACTGTAGCTCCTCCTCATCGTCGCATCTTTTTTTTTTTCGCATGGCGTCAGCAGCCGGCTCTTCCATTCCCAACCACCTCCACGTACCTCCACTGCAGTGGTTTGGAAAGCCCTGCCTTCATCTGGCTGCTGTTGATGATTATGTAAATACTTAATGCTTATGTAAAAGAGTCAAACACAAGGTCGCGATGTGAAGTTATTAAGATGCCAGGTTGGATGCACGGTCGACTGGTCGAGAACCCGCAACCCTCCCCCCCCCTAGTTTTTTTCTATCATGTCTCTCCAACATGTGGGAACACGCTGCATATGTATGGAGAGCTGCATTCATTATTCATGCTGAGAGTTGGTTTGAATGTGGTGGAGATGTAGGGTTATTCTGGGAGAGGGGTGGCGAGCAGAGACTCAGACTCGGGGAGTAAGTTATCCGTCTTTTTTTTTTTTTCCCTTCCATGGGTCTGCAATATTTGTATAATTCAGGTTGAGAACTGGATTTGGCCTGAAGACTGCCACAAAGAAAGGAATAATTCTTGTTTCTGGCCATCACCTTGGCTGTAATACGTGAGTGCTTACGGACAGCAGAATACAATTTTAAAATTCCAAATGGATAAAGGTAAAACTCACAATGTGGAGCATGATGTAGTCGCCCAGACGCGGGGCGCTGTCGATGCGGACGAGGATGCCGTCTTTGATGGTGGTGCTGAAGCCCACCGCCAGCCGGTCCGTCCGTGTGCTCGGCCTCTCGTTGTTGGGCCACGTGTACGTGATCAGACCCCCTCCTTTGCCGAAGATGTAGGTGGTGCCAGCTGTGGAAAATAAAGGAGAAAAAAAAAAGGAATAAAGAACAGCAGGGGTTAGATTTCTTGTCGAAGAAACAGAGGCAGATAAAAGGAGGTAAACTTCACTTGTGCGATGTACAAACATACTCTAACTAGACACCGGGGAGCACAGTGTTGTCACAAACAAGAAATTCCTGACAAACCAGTTCCAAACTAACTCCATTAGGGGCTAAATCTACTGTAATTCCTTTTGCAGCTACCTCGGAGCTACTACAGTGTAACCGTGTCGAGTTCTATATTTGGATTTTAATGGTATTCAGCCACCACCACCTTTTGGGTAGAAGTCAGCAGCTCCCCTGGCGACATCTATGACCTATCCAGCTCTTAAATATAGCCCCTTTCCAGGGAATAACAGCCGGTATTGGCCAGAATCGGATAAGTCTCCCAATCCTCATGTTTTATATATGAGACCTGCAACCAAAGAACAAAGGTTGGCACAAGAGAAAAGAGTCGGGGGGTCGAGGGGAGATCGAAGAACCTTCGGCGGGTTTAATTTGACAAATGCAGTGTGTAGCAGAAAAAAAAAAAAAGACCTCAGCACCGTCAGGGGAAGAGAAGCTCACCAGAAATGTTTGCTATTACATCATGCAGATTTGTGTCAGATTAGAGCCTGGGACTGGATCAAACTTGGCCTTGAGACATAAAAATCTGTCGAATTGTTTGTTGAGTTTTTTTTTTTTATCATCACGTGGAAACGGGAGGGAGAAAAGAAACCGAAAAAAAAAAAAGTTTCATTACTTGGTTGCAGGGTCGGATTCAGTTCCAACTTGCGAATGTTCCCTAAGGTGCGTCAGAATTAAAGCACTGAATCCTTGAGCCGCTTAGCCATCTCGTCCACATTTAGGCAAAGATAATCGAGAGATCAAAGGCATTAGACCTACAGCAGATAGACTAGTGGGTGAATCAATATGGCAGACAAAACAGACTCCTGTGGCCTGAGGGGGGGAGTGGAAAGCATTTGGCCCACCTCACAGGCTGACAGGGGATTGCTAATGAAGCCGCTGCATCAATGTATTAATTTTTATTTTTTTTTCTGCCGCCATCGTACCTTCCCTTTCTTCCGTATCACCTCCCAAACACCCACCCACCCCCCTCCACCATTTCTCTTTTCCATTCACTTCCTCTCCGAGTCACCTGAACATCTGCTTGGCCGTGTGATGGGTGCCCAGCTGTCTCACTGTTTCCCCTATGAAGCGGCCAACAATCTGCTCTGTGGTCTATAATACCCTGGAGACTGCAAGAACATATGGAAGAGAGGGACTAAGAGAGAGGGAGAGACTCGATTGACCAGATGAGCATCTCTATTTGCCTTCAGGCGCACAAACAGGTCTGCATTTTACGCAGCTCAGGTTGTCAGCGTTGCAAAACCACAAAACTAAGGTCGTCTGTGTGACAAGAAAAAATGTCCAAACGAGTGAAGCATCCCACGCCTCCGACAACTGTTTCGCTTCTTGTGACTAATAACTGTAAATGGATGGTTTAACACGGACGCCCGCCTTTGGGATTTCATTTTTCCTCCCGAACAGAAACAATGAAGTCACCCGATTGCTTTCAGAGACACAAACGAAGCTGATGAGTGCATCACCTGCCTCGAACAGCGCGTTTCATCGGCGGCGCTGCATCTGACGACGAGCCCCCGACGCCACGCGGGCGACAGATAGCAGCCTGCAACCACGGTTGCACCGGATCTGGCCCCTGCTGTCTCATTGCCTCAAAGTTTCTTGTTGCCAAAAGAGTTGAGGCAGACTTGGGATCAGTTTTCCCCGGCAAACGAGCAAACTTTGCCTATCTCATCTAACACACACTCTTTTTTTTTCTGGAGGGGATGACGATGATGAGCAGCAAAGATACAAGCACCCCGGGGAGCCAATTATCACATTGAGGAGATTTGCTTAGTGTTTCAAGAAGACAATGTTCGGCATGAAACACACAGAGGCAGCCGCACACACACACACACACACACACACGCAGCGACTGACGCACGCACTCAAATTGACGGAGGCACAAATGCACATCGTGATGCTCAAGTGTGCAAACACGTGTGCACACACGCACAAACACCGAAAACATGATGCCTTCTCACATACAATCGCACAAGTGGGTGATTATCTGCACAAGTACAGAGAAGAGAGAGAACCCGAGATCTCCGAGATGTAGCACATTTCCCTAACAACCTGCTGGGCACAGACTGCACCGGCTGCATTTCCACACGGAGAGGAAGTCCACTGCATATCAATTGGTGCATCCATTGCATGCAAAAGCATCGAGTGTGGCACCATTTCTGGCACTCATCAGAGGATTTCAGCGTTGAGGTACAACTGTATGGATGCTTTGCAAATTGTGGGGAGTAAAAAAAAAAAAAAAAAAAAAGCAGCATTCCGGTTCAACATCCAAGGTCAAGAGTTTCATTTAAATAATGACACCACAGCAAGAGGCCCTTTTTTCGGGCGACAGGGCTTTTCCATTCAAGTGTGGATGTACGGAGCACCGATATAATTAAATTTCAGCACTTTTGCAAGGAGACTAATTAGAGGGTGAGGGTAAGCAATGGCATATTTTAATATTTCCAGCATATTTTAGCAAGCGCACTCTCAATTACCTCAACCAACATCTCCTTGGGCATTAGCACAACTCTCAAATTGTTAATACGCAATGCTCCTTTCAAGGTATTTTTTTTTAAAACATGCTTTTAAAAATGTGCTATACTAAGGGCAGAATGCACAGAAATTTAAAAAAAAAAAGGCAGGTGTTTTTATTCATTAAAATAAAAGAAATAGACATGCAAGTTTCGAAAGACTGTGCAATCTACATTAGCATGAACACTGCACAGAAAAAAAAGAGTGCAACAGAAAAAGGATGCCTTTCATTGTCTGAAAAATAACTTGGTTCATTAACAAGACAACCTTTTAAGGAAAGTCTTGTGTAACAGACTGTGGTAAAGTAATGCGCTCCTGCTCTTATTTTACCTTGATTTGCATGGCATCTGTGCAGCAAAGACTTTGATACAACGACTAGGATGTTGATCCAGTCAGCTGCGTTAAAGGCAGCACGGTAAAAAAAAAAAAAGTGGTCCAATTTGTTCTCTGCTTCTCGGAAATAGCTCCAAGTGCTCTTAAGTTTAAGTTTCTCTGCTTTATGTGCCTTTTGTTATTCCCTCCGACTGTTTTTCCCGCCATTCTGGTCAATGTTGGCGTTCTTCAGATGGGCAATGACAACTTATTCCCATCATTACTTACAAGGCTGAAACATTAAACAGCAGTAAGCAGCAGAAATTAGGTGTTCAGTCGACGCAAAGGCTTTCACAGCCATGAAGCCTGGTGAAAAGCCAACTGCAGGGAAAATATCATCAAAGGAATCAAATCTACAAACAGATTACTGCACAGGATGTTATTTTGGTGGATCAGAGGGGACTTTCATCTCCATCTTTGAATAATGCAATCTTACTATGGCCAGTGGGTATTGGATAGAGGCCATCTGAAATCTAATTGTAGCACACGGGTGCTCCATTGATTCGAGAGTGAAAGGATGGGAGATAGGAAGCCCTTTGAAAGGAATAATGACCAAAGCTGATTTTCTTTTATTATTCTTTGAAAGTTGACAATAACTCAAGGTAAAAATGCATCCAAATTAAGGCTGGAACTCGAATACTACTTCAATTATTATCTCGATTAACCAGCTAGAGCTCTGCTGGTCTGTAAAACGCCAACAAATGGTTAAAAATGTGATTCAGGTGTTTTCCAAATCTTCAAATGTCTTGTTTTGCCCATAACCAAAAGATATTCAGTTTAATGTCATAGAGGAGGAGAAAAAAAACAACAGAAAATAGTCACATTTAAGAGGCTAAAATCAGAGACTTTTTTTTTCCTCTCCAAAATAGTTCACCATTATTCTAATAGTTGACACTTCAAATGACTCCAGATGAAAACAAACAACTAAAAGCTAGTGGTGTTAGTTGAAAAATAGAGCCAATGCACTTATGCATTACTCACCAGCGTTGTGATTTATTGCATCTGCAGCACGCCTCCGTTTAGAGGCAAACTGTGGATGAGAGACTAGGTCAAAGCCTTGGCCTCTATTTCACAGAGGTCCCCCGAGGCGTGGAAGAGCAGACAGAAGGTCAGGACACCTGTCTGCAGAACAGAACTATGTTCTGTCCTTCAGGCCCCCACGTGACGTTACCCAACTACAGGAGGATACAGTATTTTCACACAGAGCCAGAAATCACAGAAGGTCACTGCTTTCAATACACCTGACCAGCGGGCGGAAAATAAAAAAAAAAAAGCCCTGGTGCAGCTAACAAGATGGAAGCCACCGCTGCAATCCTCAGCTTAATAGTGATTAAAAAAAAATAATGGAAAACATTTATTTATACCACTCCTCGCTCTCTATCTTCCGCATGCACATTTAAACTTTACCAGGCTACAATGCTATCTATAAAAGAGCAACAAGAGTAGAGCAGCTGCTGTTCAACGTCTGCTATAACTGGGTAATTGCTTGTATTCAGACTTCACACCACGCTGTGATAAATCCCTCTATGTAGAGGTAGCAGACTTACAGTAAAAGACTGTCCAGCTGCAAAGGCTGCAAAGAGGGAGGCAGTCAAGGTTTTTTTTCTTCTTCTTGTGGAAGCTGGATTGGGTAGTTTTGAGTGTTCGTGTACCTTTGTGTGCCAGTGTGTTTACGGACAACCACAAAGAAGAAGGTGGCACCAGCAGCTACCCACAAGGCACAAAACTGCAGTGGGTAAAAAAGCTCTAAACTCCAACTGCGTTTGAGTACGCACGCACGCACG